CTCTGTGAACAGCCAGCCTCTTTAGCGATGACCTTTTGTGTCTTGCCCTCCTTGTGCAAGGTGTCGATGGTCGTCTTTTGGACAACTGTCAAGTCAGCAGTCTTCCCCATGATTGTGTAGCCTATAGAACTAGACTGAAAGACCATTTAAAGGCTTTTGCAGGTGGTTTGAGTTAATTAGCTGATTAGAGTGTGGCACCAGGGGCCATCAATTTTGAACCTTTTCACAATATTCTAATTTTCTGATATGATGAATTTGAGATTTTCATTTGTTGTCATTTGTAATCATCAAAATTAAACAAAATAAACATCTGAAATATATGAGTTTGTATGTAATGTATGGATATAATATACAAGTTTCACTTTTTAAATGGAATTACTGAAATCAATCTACTTTTTCCTGATATTCTAATTTTATGACCAGCACCTGTAATCCAAATGGTTTATGCTGACAGACAGCACTGGAAAAATGATCTAGAAAGTAAAGATTTCTTAAATTAAGTGTATTTACCCTTTATTTGAATAGGTAAATGAGATAGTTTGCCAATGGAATGAGTATTTTTACTCTTAAAATAAGATCATTCTATAATATAGACTTGAAATAAGACAATGCAATTGTGTTTTTCTTATTTTGTTCCATTAGCAAAATGTCTCTATTATCTTATCAATTCAGAACAAATGCACTTATTTTAAGATTTAAATGGCTTATCTAGAATTCGATTTTTTTCAATTGAGGCATATACACTGAAAAAAGCATCTAGAAATAAGTCAAAATGTCCTGAATTAAGTGTATTTACCCTTAATTTGAGTAGGTTAATAAGATGATTTGCCAATGGAATGAGTATTTTAACTCTTAGAATAAGATATTTAGATAAAATGCACCTGAAATAAGACAATGCATTTGTGTTTTCTTATTTTAAATGTAAATTGTCTTGTTCCATTGGCAAAGTGTCTCTTTAACCTTCTCAATTCAAGAACAAATGCACTTATTTTAAGAAGAAATGACTTATATAGATTTAGATTTTTTCCAGTGTAAAGACCCGACAGTGTCATCGATCAAGCTGTGCTTCGCTCATGTGCAACAATGCTAACATTACCCATTTTTATTCCGATCGGCCATTTTAGTGCGGCTAAAATCCGATTAACTTTTTTACTTTAATCCAAATATATTTTCAAAATGATCATAAAATGTTGTGCATGAGAAACATAGCTGGGTTTTCCTGTATTCAGCCCGGACCAGCTCCTCTTTCTTTACTAAAGAACAGCATCCCACAGCATGATGCTGCCACCACCATGTTTCATTGTGGGCATACTGTATTTCTGAGATGTGCGGTGTACATTTTTTAACCACACATTTCACTTTACCTTAAGTCATGGAGGTTTTTGTAATTGCATATCCGGGTTGCTCCATCTAGCTCCCCACAGCCTTCTTTTTTTTATCCGAATCTGAAACCAGCTGTAAACAGATCAGGCTGTTGTTTTATGGCCTCTGCAAACCAAACCTTGGACTGTAGTGCCACTCAAGGGTTCTTCTCTTGTCTTCTAGCAGAACGGTGAAGAATCCTCGCAGAAAACGCTCCCTAAAGCTTATGGAAAGCCTTCAGCTGCAGCTGTAGGAGGACTAAAAGATGGGCCACCATGATAATAAACCCTAGAAGTCAGTAACGAGGAGGAAGACGAGTAAATACTGTTGGCAATGGGCCGTTTCTCCCTCCCAGGATGTAATAAAAATGCAACAGTCATTTGCCGGTTTTATTTTTATAAGTAAATCAAAGTCTTTGAAAAGATGACCTGTGGTTCTGCTGGCTCGATTTGAGAAGCTGAATGTGGAACAGAAAAGCTTTTTTTCCCCCCTTCTGTTTTCTATTAGTATCTGCTCATAGCATATTAGGCATGACTGACAAGTTTTGTGGTTATGTTGAGCTCTTGCATCACGTCGGGGAGACATGGGGGTGGCGGTCAAACATTTCTAACACGCTAACTGACATGAACCTCTGGGACTTGAAGGCCACTTGTTTGTGTCATGATTCTTGTTAGGCAGCACATGTTCTTCTGCATTTAACTTAATTGGAAGACCTGCCAGCCATAAAATCTGGGTGGTAATATCTGACAGAAGGTTTAAATTAGTAGGAATGTCAAAGTTCTTGTTTCTAGTTATACTTTATTGTTTTGTTTTCCTGTCCTTTAGGCCATTAAATTTCAGTTGTTGCTGAAATTGTCAAAAGAATCAGCTGAGAGATTTGAAGTCCTCTACTCAGAGAAAAATCACTACATGTGTTCGATTACAAAAAAGTAAAAAAAGAAAACAATCCACTGGACTTTGGTCCCTCCATTTACCTCAGAGCTAAACCATGATGTTGCTCGTGAAGATGCTCAGTCATCCAGGTCATGGTTAATCCAAAAACGTTAAAAAAAAAATCCACTGGACTTTGTTTCCAAGTTTGAAGACGTTTCTCTTCCATCCAGGAAGCTTTTTCAATCCAAAATGTCAGAAATAGCGTTGAGTTCCAGGTTTTATAGAGTAGCCCAACAAAGTCTTGTTTTAGTTTAGAAAACATGCAAATTGAACCAGAGGAAAATGTCTGCACTGGAAAAATCGAAATCTAGATAAGTTGTTTTTTTCTTAAAATAAGTGCTTTTGTTCTTGGATTGAGGAGGTAAAAGATACATTTTGCCAAAGGAACAAGAAAACTCACATTTAAAATAAAAAACACAACTGCATTGTCTTATTTCAAGTGCATTTTATCTTATTTTCTTATTTTAAGAGTAAAAATACTAATTCCATTGGCAAACTATCTCATTTACCTACTCAAATTAAGGGTAAATACACTTCATTTAAAATTTTTTTACTTATTTCTAGATCATTTTTCCAGTGTGCAACCTTAGTTCCAAAGGGGTGGACTCGTTCGTCCGTTTCAATTTGCATGTTTTTGCTGCAAAAAATCAAAATCTAGAGAATTCTTTTTTTCTTAAAATAAGTGCATTTGTTCCTGAATTGAGGAGATAAAAGAGACATTTTTCCAACGGAACAAGACGATTCATATTTAGAATAAGAAAACACAACTGCATTGTCTTATTTGAAGTGAATAATATCTAATTATGTTATTTTAAGAGTCAAAATACTCACTCCATTGGCAAATTATATCATTTGCCTATTCAATTTAAGGGTAAATACACTTCATTTAAGACATATTTACTTATATCTAGTAAATTATTCTGGCTTAAACATGTATATAAATGTTCTCATTATCAGACCATATTGTCCCGAAAGTTAGAAAATGTCTATAAAAGAAAAAATCCTGTCTTAAAATCAGTTTTTTTCATTATCTTCTGCAGGCCAGTTAGTTATACGTCAGCCTGAACACCTAAATTCAGCCAATCATATATCAACGATCATCTGTCAATCAAATGTTTTCGGTCATAGCATCTTGATTCGTATGTCGCAGCTAATATACGCAACGGTTGAAATCAGAATCGTTTCCTTTCCCATTGAGTTGCGTCCCAGTGTTCACGGGGATGGACGTCTGTGTCTTCGGCAGGCGTAGAGCTAACAGAACTGGCAGCGTTGCGAGGCAAGGGCTCAAACATGTACGGCTGGAAGCCTTCTACACCAAACCAAGCTTCTGCCGCCCTGGCGTCCTCTTCCACAACATCTTCGTCCCCGCTTTCCTCCTCTAAATAAAAAATGGATGACGGAGGAGACTCATCCACGACCTCCGACACTAAACTCTCCTCCTCTTGCATGTTTCCGCTGTCCATAGCGTTCCTTGACAGCGTCGTTTCTAAGGCACCAATTTAGTGCTACTTGGTCCCAATGGAATTTCCCATTGGGAACCTAACCTGACTCCACCAGATGGATTTGCTCCGCATATCCATCTGGAAACCTTCCGTTGAAGTGATTTTGGGAAGGGGCGAAAATACTGGTTAGCTGATTGGTCTATGTTGGTGATAGACGGGCCAAATAAACCAATCAGATCAACGAAGCATATGACGTACTAACAGAGCGACGACGAAAACACAACCACAAGCCAGGCTACTCTTGCCTAAACCAGTCGGGAGAAGAGCAAAAACATCTTTTCCTCTGAGAAAAGCCTCCAGAGCAGTGTTTTGCTCTTCTTTCAGTGAAGAAATACTCTGTAATTCCGATAAAACTTGCTCGATAGCCACGCTAACGCTAGTTTCATCGGCTGAAGCCGCCATGTTCTTTAGACTGAACTGTCGCGCTTCTCGTTGCGTCACACCTCAACCCGCCTCAAAGCCAACGCTGATTGGACGTTCGTTTGGTGAACGGCTCCAAATTTTCTTTAACGGAGAGTCTCTAGACTGATTAGCGAGTGAAACCTTGAAAGCTCGCGAGATCAGGATGGTCTCACGAGGCTATTGGGAACCTGCTAGCACTAAGTTGCTAACTGGTTAGCAAGATGCTTCACACAAACCGGCCACAACCAAACTTGCTTGTGAACCTACCACCACAACAATCCCACCCCCTTGATAATCGACCAATCACATTCACTTTATTCACTCATGTAAAGTCGGGCACCACTCTGGAGAATTCGGAAATGCGACGGTTGGAACGGCCTCTTCCCTACGACTTTAAAGTCACAGATTATAATTAAAAATGTCTCCGTACCTTTGCTGATTGTTGTTTTTTTTTTCATTGTGACGCCGCTAATTTTTAATTGGTTACCTCTGGTATAAAACCTGGAACTCAACGCCATTTCTGACATTTTGAATTGAAAAAGCTTGGATAAGAAGAGAAACGTCTTCAAACTTGGAAAAAAGGTCCAGTAGATTGTTTTTTAATATTTTTGGAATGACTTTGACCTGGATGACTGAGAATCTTCACCACCATACTAAATTTGTGCTTTTCACTGAATGGTATAAAAAATGAATACCAGCATGTTTGCCAACAGCAATCAGAGAAGCGTTCGACCGTATTGTTTTCTTCCAAAAACCGTTTAATTTTTAAAAGATTAGCATCTGTGTTCTGTTTGTGTCCAGGCATCATCAAGGTGGGAAGGTGGAACCCTCTGCCCATCCATTTCCTCACCGACGCTCCTGAAGCCACGGTGGCAGACATGCTGATGGAGGTCTACCACATGGTCACGCTCCATATTCAGCTGCAAAGGTCAGATTTACCTGCAAACTGTTGTTGGATTTAAAAAGCATGTGAGGCAGAGCAGAGACTATATGCAGGGGAGGAGGTGGACGTCAGCTGATGTGACTGCAGTGGATTTGAAACACACAGGCTCTGATGGAGATCTATGTGCTATCTATCTGCGTCAGAGGGGCGGGGGAGGGTCCATGCTTTGGGAACTCCTGGTTCCAGAGAAGAAATGAAGCAGCATCCTGATGAACAGATAAAAACAGATAAACTCCACATGAGAGGGTTTTTTTTTCTTCTTTTTCTATTGTTCCACATTCCTGCCAGGCTTGTTTATCTGTGGGACCAAAGCAGGGGCAGGGCTACGCTATGCTCGCAGTCTGACTCATTTATCTAAAGCTAAAATAAAAATACCAAAACTCTATATCAGATGATGCACTGCAAAAATGATATCTAAATAAGTCAGCTTTTCTTAAAATCAGTGGATTTGTTCTTGAATTGAGGAGGTAAATGAGACACTTTGCCAATGGAACAAGACAAGTTAGCTTTAAAATAAGTAAAAAAAATATGCATTGTCTTTTTTCAAGTGCATATTATCTAATTATCTTAAGTAAAAATACTTTTTCCATTGGCAAATTATCTTATTTACCTACTCAAATTGATGGTGAATGCACTTAATTTAAGAGATGTTTACTTATTTTTAGGTTGTTTTTGCAGTGTAAAGCTTTAATCTACGGAGCCCCTCTAATGACATGGTCAAAAAAATTTTTTAATTGTGGCCACGAAGTAGTATTTCATGGCCATGCAATAAGTTTATCGTGCGCACGAAATACTACTTCGTGGCCACGCAATAAGTTTAACGTGCGCACGAAATACTACTTCGTGGCCACGCAATAAGTATAACGTGCGCAGGAAATACTACTTCGTGGCCACGCAATAAGTTTAACGTGCGCACGAAATACTACTTCGTGGCCACGCAATAAGTTTAACAGGCGCATGAAATACTACTTTGTGGCCACGCAATAAGTTTAACGTGCGCACGAAATACTACTTCGTGGCCACGCAATAAGTTTATCGTGCGCATGAAATACTACTTCGTGGCCACGCAATAAGTTTAACGTGCGCACGAAATACTACTTCGTGGCCACTCAATAAGTTTATCGTGCGCACGAAATACTACTTCGTGGCCAAGCAATAAGTTTAACGTGCGCACGAAATACTACTTCGTGGCCAAGCAATAAGTTTAACGTGCGCACGAAATACTACTTCGTGGCCACGCAATAAGTTTGACGTGCGCACGAAATACTTCTTCGTGGCCACGCAATAAGTTTGACGTGTGCACGAAATACTTCTTCGTGGCCACGCAATAAGTATAACGTGCGCACGAAATACTACTTTGTGGCCACGCAATAAGTTTATCGTGCGCACGCAATACTACTTCGTGGCCACGCAATAAGTTTAACGTGCGCACGAAATACTACTTCGTGGCCACGCAATAAGTTTATCGTGCGCACGAAATACTACTTCGTGGCCACGCAAAAAGTATAACGTGCGCACGAAATACTACTTCGTGGCCACGCAATAAGTTTATCGTGCGCACGAAATACTACTTCGTGGCCACGCAATAAGTATAACGTGCGCACGAAATACTACTTCGTGGCCACGCAATAAGTTTAACGTGCGAAATACTTAATAATATTAATATCATTCCTGGACAACTGGGTAAGCAAATCGAGCGCGCCTTCTCTAAGGTCTAAGGCGCGCTCGATTTGCTTACCCAGTCGGTCTCCGCCAGTCACGTGACATTTGTTGCTAAGACACCATTTTAGGTGGAAAAGGCATAGTGTAAACAACCGCAGCATAGCTAAACGAAGGACGAAAGGCCCGTTTACATAGCAGCCTGTCCAAGATAAGTTATTACAGTTAACATAAGCCTGAAAACAGGGGCGGATTTATTGATATTATTAATTATTATTATTAATTAAGTATTTCGTGCGCACATAATACTTATTGCGTGGCCACGAAGTAGTATTTTGTGCGCACGATAAACTTATTGCGTGGCCGCGAAGTAGTATTTCATGCGCACGTTAAACGTATTGCGTGGCCACGAAGTAGTATTTCGTGCGCACGTTAAACTTATTGCGTGGCCACGAAGTAGTATTTTGTGCGCACGTTATACTTATTGCGTGGCCGCGAAATACTACTTCGTGGCCACAATTAAACATTTTTTTTGACCATGTCATCAGAGGGAGTCTGTATTAATCTGCAGGCTCAAACTGCAAAAAAAGGAAATCTTAATCAGTAATTTCTCCTGGAAATAAATGCATCGGTTCTTGAATTGAGAAGGTAAAAGGGAGGTTTTGCCAATGGAACAAGACAATTTACATTTAATTGTCTTATTACAAGTGCATATTATATAATTGTTTTATTTTAAGAGTTAAAATACTCATTACAATCTAATTTACCTACTCAAATTAACGTTAAATATACTTAATTTAAGAAATTTGTACTTATTTCTAGATCATTGCATCCACTGTAAATGGAGCTTCAGCCAATCACTTCCAGGCTTCATGGTTCCTGAGGTCATAGGTCAACCTGGGTCCCATTATTGTGGACTACTTTGCAGCTTCTGTTGTGATTTTACTCTTTTATTATATTTTAGATCCAGATTTTGATTATATTTCAGGTTCTGTTTTAAATGTGAACTATATGGAGCTTTATTGCTGTGATAAACTCAAAAGCTGTAAAAGTACTCAGCTGCTCATGCAGGACGTGTTTTTACTTTAATCTATATTATGCTGCTGAAGTTCTAATTTGGATGGAAACCAGAGTCTCTTTACAAACACAGAGCAAAAGCAAAAAACTTCATATTTATTTTTGTGTTCATTACTTTTATGACCCTTTTTCACCTTTTCACAGGAGTCAGTAGTTTTATCTTTTTACACAAGTATCTACCTTTTCCTTTAGTAAAGAATACGATTACTTTTTTCACCTCTGATAAACACATCATTTGTTTTATTGCGTTACTTATAAAAGTAAATCATTAATTCAAGTTAGAGTTTTGGATTCCCAGTCCTAATTCTTGGTAAAAGGACAGTTTCTGTTTTTTAAGCGCAGGAACACTGTAAAAAATGTCAATCGCAATAAGTCACTGTTTCTTAAGTGCATTTTGTCTTGAATCGAGGAGATAAGTGAGACATTATGCCAGTGGAAAAAGATAATTTACATTTAAAATAAGAAAAACAGAATTGCATTGTCTTATTTCAAGTGCATGTTATGTAATTGTTTTATTTTAAGTGTATAAAATGCTCATTCCATTGGCAGATTATCTTATTTACCTACTCAAATTAAGGGTAAATACACTTAATTTAAGACATTTTTTACTTATTTCCTGATCTTTTATGCTGTGAACTAAAGCTTTGCTGCTGGCGGGTTAAAACTAAGCTGCTCTCTGGTTATTAGGTGTTTTTCTTTCATTAATTTGGTTCCAATCCCCTCTTTCAGTCTGTTTCTGCAGGTTTTTTCTGTGCTAATAAAAGGTAGAACTTAAAGAAATTCTTCCCTCTTCCAAACAAACAGCCCTGCTTTTTTTCTTTTCAAAATTTTTTTTTATTGCAAAGAAAAACTGCAAAAATGATCCAGAAATAAGTAAAAATTTCTTAAAATAAGTGTATTTACCCTTATTTTGAGTAGGTAAATGAGATAGATGGCCAATGGAATGAGTATTTTTACTCTTAAAATAAGATAATTACATAAAATGCACTTGAAATAAGACAATAAAATTGTGTTTCCTTATTTTAGGTGTAAATATTCTTGTTCCATTTGCAAAATGTCTCTTTTATCTCCTCAATCCAAGAAAAAATGCACTTATTTTCAGAAAAATTATTTCCATTTTTTGCAGTGTGGGTCTGACCAGTGAAAATTCCTGCCTATAATCTTCTCTCTGTTAAACGTTGAGCTAATTGATTTATTACTGCATCTACAACGCATGCTAACCATCTGATAGCTTATGGGTTTATGAACATAATTATGTTGCCTGAAGGAGAAGCGATACATTTGATTTCCTGGAGATATTTTCACTAATCAAGAGGAAGTGGATTTATCTTAACGATGTAAAACACATCCCCAATGACTGCTGTGACTGACTGCTTTTTGGATCTATGGAAAGCTGTGAATGACGTATTTTTTGTGCGGTTTTGATTTGCTGTAGCTTTGCGAAGCTGGAAGATCTGCCCTGTGAGCAGTGGAACCACGCCACCGTGAGAAACGCCCTCAAAGAGCTGCTGAAGGAGATGAACCAAAGCACTCTGGCCAAGGAGTGTCCTCTGTCACAGGTAGGAGCAGCTCCCTCTGACCCCCCCCTGCAGGTCCAGGAGGATGCTTTTCATTCTGCATGGGAGGGGGGGTGAATATAGAAGCAACCCAGCAGAGATTATTGGGATTGCTGTAGCGTTTTTATGAAACTATGCCAAGTTGCTGCCTCCTCAGCCAGCTGGTTCCTGCTACAATAAGCTGTGCAATGTGTTTGCATGTTGTGTTTAACGCCATCTTTGGTATGGGGGGGGGGGGGGGGGGGGGGGGTCATTGCATTAATTGTTAGCATATGTGTGTGTGGCTGGAGATTCCCTCTCTGCAGCTCGCTGGCTTGGCTTTCCATGGGTGGCTTCCAGTCATGATTAATGGTTGTCTGTTTCCATCATGTGTGTGTGTGTGTGTGTGTGTGTGTGTGTGTGTGTGTGTGTGTGTGTGTGTGTGTGTGTGTGTGTGTGTGTGTGTGTGTGTGTGGACATGCCATGTGGGTGTTGAGTCAAAGCATTTCATATGGTGTTGGTTATTATTTATCTTTCTCCTCTCTCGTCCCCCTCAGAGCATGATTTCCTCCATAGTGAACAGTTCGTACTATGCCAACGTCTCCACTGCCAAATGTCAGGAGTTTGGTCGTTGGTATAAGAAGTACAAGAAAATCAAAGGTGAGCCCTGGACACTCAGAAAGGTTTTTGTCATCGGCACAAAACACTTGATTTGTTTGGGAAGGTGAATCAAAATAAAAGAGGTGTGGGTCACTAACCAATCCGTCCCGGAAGCACGATCCACAACAGATATTCATCCAGGTGTCCATAAATAATGTCATTATGCCACTAAAATGACTTAACTCTCTATAGAATGCTAATACACATCTTTAAAAAAATGTTTCATGACTTTTGTGAGACAATTTCGATGCTTTTTAAAAAATGTTGTCTGACGTCATCATTGGACGTGCTGAGAGCAGTCCGGTAAATTACGATTAAACCATGTTTATCTGCGTTTTAGTTCTTTCTTTTATTAGATTATGCACTATATACCATAAGGTTAACACGAAAGGAAAACATTAAACTTAAAAAGACTAGATTTATGTTTAAATCCAGAGATGAAAATGTTAGCTCCCAGGAGTAGCGCTGGATCCCATTCCGGTGCAGATCGGGAACAGAGTGATAAAACAGAAAGGATTTAAAGGCATTTATTATCTCAGGAAATACATTATTAACCTTTAACACATTATAGTTTAGTACGTTTACTATTTTGGGGAGGGAAAACATCATTTAGGTCTTTTTAACAAAATAAAATGGAGGGCGACCTGGATGTACACTGGAAAAAACTGAAATCTAGATGAGTAATTATTTCTCAAAATAAGTGAATTTGTTCTTGGATAGAGAAGGTAAGATAGACATTTTGCCAACGGAACAAGACAATTTACACTTAAAATAAGAAAACACAATTGCATTGGCTTATTTCAAGTGCTTATTATCCAATTTTCTTATTTTAAGAGCAAAAATACTTGTTCCATTGGCAAACTATCTCATTTACCAACTCAAAGTAAGGATAAATACATGTGATTTAAGACATTTTTACTTATCTCTAGATCGTTTTTCCAGTGTATATCTGGATGGATCAGGTAGTGACAGTGTGAAAGATTTAAGAAACTGATTTGACTCAAGTGCGAAAAATGGATTCCAGGAAGGAAACTAAGGCTCCTGTCACACCTTTAGGATACATCCAGCGTCTGCCTGACGTCTCAGAATCTCCTAAAACGCTGGCATACGCTGAACTTTCTATGTATTTTTTCTATTCCGGGCGTATGCATAGAGTATTCATAACGATTCAAGAACTTCTGTCCAACCACAGCCTAACTTCTGCATAACGCACGGCAGCGTGATGCCCACACTGCAAAAAATCTAAATCTTGATAAGTCATTTTTTCTTAAAATAAGTGCATTTGTTCTTGAACTGAGGATGTAAAAGGGACATCTTGCCAATGGAACAAGACAATTTAGATTTAAAATAAGAAAACACAATTGCATTGTCTTATTTCAAATGCATGTTATCTAATTATCTTATTTTAAGAGTACAAATACTCATTCCATTGGCAAACTATCTCATTTACCTACTCAAATTAAGGGTAAATACACTTAATTTAAGAAGTTTTTTACTTATTTCTAGATCGTTTTTCCAGTGCAGGAAATGATGAACCAGCCAGTGTCATGCGCACAGAGGCTGCATAAAAAGATTCATTTGATCGCAGTATTAACCTAGCTGCTGTTTACCTCCTGCTCAAAAATTTGAAAAAGAAAGAAAAAGAAATGAAAGAAGGTTATTCAGCATCATGCCTACATGGAAGTGTGTTGGTGGTGGGCGTGAACACAGGGAGGATCCATCACTCACCTTCTGGCTCACCCTATGATGGGGATGAAGTCTGGAGGAGAACTGACGGTTTCCCCCTTTATACCAAAACGCTGCCAATACGCCATTAGGCTTCGAAGCATCCGATGCAGGAACAGTAGATTCTAGAACAGCTTCTTCCCCACCGCCGTTAGTGCTGAATGTTGGGAAACTGTAACCTGTAAACTAAAACATTTGATCACTGCTGCACTTTAACAAATGGAAACGTCTTGAGAGCTGTACTGAACGAAATTTTGTTTTGTTAACACCCTGTTTACAAAATGAGTTATAAAGTTTCTCTAAATCTTTTCCTTTCTTTTTATATTATTTTCTTTATTTCTCTTTTTCAAATTGAGTTTTAAGAATTGAATTTTGTTTTTTGCATTTCACAGATCAGCTTCTCTCTGCTTCTTTCCTCTGCAGAGTCCTGTATGACTCTGCTTTGAGTTTATTCAGTTACGAATAGAAGAAAAAACATCCATACACTTTGTGGCATGTCCTGAAAAAAACACAAAGAAGTAGAGAAAATATCTTTTTTCTTTGCTTTGTTTTTCTTTTTAACCAGGAAACATTTCAAATCCGCCGATTTGCAGATCCCTGTTTTACATAAACTTCTTGTTTCATTTAAGTAATGCGTAGTTCACTGTTTAGCAAGTATTAAAATCAAATCGATAAAAAAAAAACAATCAAAACTTTTGGCCTCCGAGTATTCTCACTCTACATGTTTGCCTCAAAGGGCAAAAACTTTGTCCGGCCCGCTCCAGTTTGTCCAACCTTCCTGTTATCTCTGCTCTCTCCTCATGTTTAATTGTCCCTCCCTGATGTTGAAACCAGCTGCCATTGTGTGAACATCCTTAAGTTAAAGTGCTGCTTTTAACACATCATAGTTTTCTACTTTGATGCATTTAAAGAATCAGATTCTTTGAGTTTTTGAGTTGAGTTTTGTTGGTTTCTGTTTGCAGAAGATGGCAGCACACCTCAGATATTGAAGTTGAATCCATGTTTGCGTTTGTTCAGTGCAGAGCTGCAGCTAAAAGGCAGCAGCAGAAGGTTTATCCACTCGCTCAGGTTATCGCAGCACAAAGCATCTTCATCACATGTCTTCCAAAGCAAACACTGGTGAAACATTTGGTGTTTTTATAGTGGTAATTACTTCAACAGTTAGTTTGTTGAGAATCAGCTGAGATTTTATCAATATTTATGGTAGAATTAACATTTACAGTCAATTCTTTTCACTACAAAAAATTGAAATCTAAATAAATCATTTTTTTCTTAAAATTTGTGCATTTTTCCTTGAATTGAGGAGGTAAGTGAGACACTTTGCCAATGGAACAAGACATTTTACATTTAAAATAAGAAAAAAATGTTTTATTTCAACTGCATATTATCTATTTATCTTATTTTAATAGTAAAATTAGTCATCAAAGATAAATCATCTGATTTAGCTGCTCAAATTAGGGGGAAATACACTTAATTTAAGAAATTTTGACTTATTCCAAAATCGTTTTTGCAGTGTCATTGCAATTGTGCTTTGATTTTTATCTGCACTGCAAAACATGTAAATCTAAATAAGTGATTTTTTTTTTCCTTAAAATAAGTGAATTTGTTCTTAAATTAAGAAGGTAAGTGAGACACTTTGCCAATCAAATAAATTTAAACTAAGAAATAACAACTGCAGTCTCCTATTTCAAGTGCATAATATTTAATTATCTTAAGAGTAAAAATACTAATTACATTGGCAAAATTATATATATATATATATATATATATATATATATATATATATATATATATATATATATATATATATATATATATATATATATATATATATATATATATATATATATATTATAATTATTTATATTTTTATTATTTTATTATAATTATTTACCTGCTCAAACTAAGGGTAAATACACTTTAAAATTTTACTCATTTTTTTATACACTGCAAAAACAGTCTAGAATTAGAAAAAGATTTCTTAATTTAAGTGTTTTTACTCTTAATTTGAGTAGGTAAGTAAGAGGATTTGCCAATGGAATGAGTATTTTTATTCTTAAAATAAGATAATTAGATAAAACTCACTTGAAATAAGACAATGCAATTGTTTTTTCTTATTTTAAGTGTAAATTGTCTTGTTCCATTGGCAAAGTGTCTCGCTTACCTCCTCAGTTCAAGAAAAAATACACTTATTTTAAGAAAAATTTACTTATTAAGATTTAAATTTTTGCAGTCTATAGTTTTTACAGTGAACACATTTAATTTTGTGCATAAGTCCTGCAACCTAATTTTTCTGTGAAGTCAAACATGCTTCATTAGCTATGATTTTATATCAAATATGCAGCAAATTTAACCGATATTCTGCTAATAAAAAAAAAATGTCACAATTAATAAGACATGTGATCAAAATTAAATGTAAATTTGTTAAATCGATAATGGAGGAAGAAAAAAACCTGCTTCTCCATCATCCTCTCACTACTTCCCATCGTTTTGTCGTTCCTGCCAGTAGTAACATGAACAGTGCTGAACATAATGCGAAATAAAATAATAATTTCAATAATTACACTGTGAGCAGTTCACTGGAAACGCAGCTATTGATACAGAATTTCTGCATCACTTCTTCTCATGCTGCACCATGCAGACGCTCCATCTGCACTGATAAAGATCGACTCACCTCAGAGGCTAAACTTTGACCAGTTCTAACTGACAGCAGCCGAAACTATTCTCTGATTTACTCAGTAAATTATCATTTTACTGTCAGTGGAGCATTGCTTATAATATTTATGGTATTATTATTTTCCTACTCAAATAAATGCACTTAATTTAAGGGATTTTTACTCATGGGGCCGGATTTATCAAGATCCAATTTTGCGTGCAGTAATTTGCGCTCGCAAACTGGAATTTTGCGCGAGGGGCTGGACCATGGTTTGCTCGTGATTTAACAAGAGCGATTGCGTAACTGGTGGCAGGTGCAAAACTGTTGGAGACGCCCTATTTAAATGATGGTTTTGCGCGTTTTGTGGTTTGCGGCAAAGTAGTGCATTAAGAAATTTAAATCTTACAGTGATATATAAAGAAAAAACTTTGGCAACCTTTATTCCCTAAGGTGGTATGTGGCTGAATTTCTACTTCACTGCAGTAAAAAAAAAAAAAACAACAACAAAAAAACAGGTGTTTTGTATTGGCCTGTAGAAAAATGCACAGACCAAATGGCTCACAAGAAGTGACTGTGGATGAGATTACGCATCCCCGCAGCATTGGCATGTTGCTCCACAGGCGCAGGGGGAGAACCCCGACCCCGTCAGACAGCACTTCTGAAAAACGAGATTGGGAGATCCCAGCTCTCTGACCCAGATGCAAAAAGTGCAACGTTGCAAGGAGTTTTGTGATATCTGGTATTGCGTGGGTCCTCCTTGTGGCTGGCTCCAAATCCATTCGGAGTTCCCCCAACAGCTCCAAAATGGCAATGCTGGATAAACGACATGTTTTGATGATCGTTTCCTCGTTCATTCCAAAAATATTCACACGGAGTGAAAAAATGCGTTCTCTGCGTCTCCTTGCTTCATTTCCATGTCTCCTTCTTGCGACAATAACCGCTGCCATGTGTGCGCAATTACGCATACAGACCATTTGCACCTTCTTTTGAAACGTGTTAAATATAGAGTCAGATACCGTTAGCAAAATTGTTTTTAGGTTTGATAAAACACTTTGCGAGTGCTAAATTAATATATTTACATGTTATCCTCCCACAAGACGCACTTTTGCGTGTAAACGCCCCATATTGCATATTCATTGCAGAAAAGGTACTAAATGGATAAGAGGCGCTATTTAGCACGTTTTAAAGACCAAATCCTTTTAGCACGCTGTTGATAGATCAGTTTGTAAATTTTTTAGCGTGCGCAGTGAAATAGCTCACGTTTTTATACACGCAAACCTTTGATAGATCCGGCCCATAGTCAGAAGGTTTTTGCAGTGTTTTGTCTTTGTGTTTTGATTTTCATTCCCATAATTTTTAAAACCCAAACGCTTTTGGTAAATGAATGCAGTGTGCAGGTGGGAGTTTGGAGCGTTCCACTGATTGTGTGCTGCTTCTGTTAAACAGGGGATTATCTGGAGAAGATGTGGGCCGGTCGAGACGCGGCGGACATCAAGAGTAAGGCCCTCAGTGCTTCTCGCTCGGTTGCTTCACTGGAAAAAAATCTAAAAAAGTCATTTTTTCTTAAACTAATCGCAGTTTTTCTTGAGTTGAGGAGGTAAGTGAGACACTTTGCCAATGGAACAAGACAATTCAATCTGATAAACTCAAGACGAAGAGAAAAGACAATTAGGAGAAATTTATTGATACAGTTACTTGGTCTTTGGCGCTCAGACCTCAGCAGGAAACATAGCGCTGAATTTTAATAGATATGCATGAACAGGAGTAAAGAATAAGGCTGTTTCCCCCGAGGCCTGAACCTGGTGGTGCAGAGGAGATAGATAGAGTTGGTCAGTCTGTAGACTGCTGGTTAGTGAGACGGTCTGCTGAGCTTTATGGGGAGATCCAGTGGACTGCTCCAGCTGATACTAGAGCTTCACTCAGGGACCTGGAAGATGGAAGTCCAGTTGGAAAACACAGGTTGAGAGAACCTGTCCATGATGAGCAAGCATGAAGAGACAGTGGAGAGGAAAAACTCCCCGTTGGGAAGAAACCTCTGGCAGAACCAGGCTCAACATGGCGGTCTACTGCCTGACCGGTTAAGATGAGACAGGGAACGCAGTAAGAGTCCGGGAGGAATGAAACTCTGATGAAGCTTAAGCTACGATGGTGGAGGAGGGGATGGAGGGGGGTGGAAACGGGGTCATCTGAATGAAGTCATACGGCGCAGCCACTGCCTGCGCACTAGGGAGCAGATGAGTTGCAGATCGGAGGCCTTTTAAGATGAGCTTTAGATGCTGATTGGCTTTCGTAGAGGCGTGGTTCAAAGATGATTGGCTGAGTCACAGGCAAATGAAGACGAATAATCAGGTTATTCAGTTAAACTTCCGCCTAGGCTCCATTAATAAGTGTATATTATCTAAAAGAGTAAAAATCCTCCTTCCATTGGCAACTCATCTTATTTACCTGCTCAAACTAAGGGTAAATACACTTAATTTAAGACATTTTGACTTATTTCTAGATCGTTTTGCAATGTTTTTCACTGAAGCTTTTTGTTTCATGTCTTCTGTCTCCAGTTGAGCGGGACAACATGTCGGACTTCTGCGTCCTGGGACAGAGACCCCCTCCTCACCTTGCTCAGCTCAGCCACCTCAGCTCCGGCGGGCCCCTCCTCAAAGCCGGATCCGGCGACCCGCAGGCCCCCTCTCAGCCGCTGCAGCAGCCTCCTCCTCCCCAGCAGCAGCCCTCCCCTCACGGGCCCCTCCACCACAGCCCTCCCCTCCGCACAGGACAAGTGCCCCCGCCTCCCCCGCCGCCTCCGCCCGGCCCCCTGCAGCCCCTGCTGGGGCCGGGTGGGCTCCTCTCTCCGCAGCTCTCCCCGCAGCTGGTTCGCCAGCAGCTGGCCATGGCCCACCTCATCAACCAGCAGCTGGCGGTGAGCCGCCTGCTGGCCCACCAGCACCCTCAAACCCTCAACCAGCAGTTCCTCAACCACCCCCCCATCCCTCGGGGTTCCTCCAAAGGTGGAGGAGACCATCCTGGGAGCAACCCCTCAGCCGCTGAGGTCTCCTCTGAGATCTACCAGCAGGTCAGAGACGAGCTGAAGAGAGCCAGCGTCTCCCAGGCCGTGTTCGCCCGCGTGGCCTTCAACCGCACCCAGGTAGGGAGCCAGGAACGCCATCGAACCCATCCAGATGCAGGAGCCCAAACTATGTGATGAGCAGGAAAGAATCCAAATCTAGACAAGTCATTTTTACTTAAAATAAGTGCAATTGCTCTTGGATTGAGGTGGTAAAAGAGACATTTGGCCAATGGAACAAGACAGTTTACACTTAAAATTAGAAAACACAACTGCATTATTTTACTACAGGTGCATATTATCTAATTATCTCATTTTAATGGTAAAAATTACTAATTCCATTGGCAAACTATCTCATTTACCTACTCAAAATACAGGTAAATGCACTTAATTTAAGAAATTTCTACTTATTTCTAGATGGTTTTTCCAGTGTAAAACGTGAGAGAAGGAATCCTCGTGTCTTTGGTTTCCTGTGGTTAGCAGGAGTTCAGAGGGGAGGGGGTGAGAGATCATCAGGTCTCCTCCCCCGCCTTCCCAGCAGCAGGAACACCTGATGCATCCATGCTGCGCTAACCTGCTCACAGCACGCCCCATTAGAGCAGAGTACAGGGAGGCTCACAGGCCAGGTGGAGATTTCTGTTTATAATCAGCATGGAGGGAATTTGTTCCTTTATTGTTGCAACTAAAGAAAATGTTATGCAAATAAAAATATGAAAAAAGGGTTTTTTTTTGGTGAATAAAACTTAAAGCAACACAATCCACAAATTAAACTTTGAAAAAGATCAAAATCAAAAAGGTTTTAAGAGTAAATTAACAGTTTTCTTAACTTGTTTTTTCCAATTATTCATTTATTCAAATTTTAATTTTTTCTTTATAGATTTTACATTTTTCAAATTTTATTTTGTTATTTATTTATTTTTTTTTTCAGCAAGATTTAACTTTTTTTATTTAATTGAAAATTAATTTTTTTGGGATCATTTATTGGACTGGAAGTGATGGGAATGTGATCTGTCAAATGAAAAGAAAGGAATTCATAAAAAAAAAAAAAAAAAAGATTGAAATTATAAATCAGTTGAAAATTTTGAAAATTAAAAAAAATAGAGAAAAAAAAAACAATTCAAAGAATGATAAAAAAAAAAAAAAATTTATTCTGGAATGCATTTTTCTCAAATTTAGAAAATCTTGATTTTTTTTTTTTTTTTTTTTTTATATTCTATTTCCAATTACTAAATGAGTTGTTTGCTTGTAACAATGATGGCACAAAATTCACTCCATAAATCATCTGGTCAAATTTAGCAAACATCAGATCTATTTCATAGTTTTTAAAATGTAAACGTTTTTTGGTCCCGAAAAGTTAAAAGAATCAAACGTCGAACCAAAGGAAGATTTATATACGCTGCTGTGATGCTAATGAGCGTTAGCACTGATATGCTAAATGTTACCAAAATCCAACCTGCTGTTGGTCAGACTAAGATGGGTTTCTCATTTCAGTTAGAGATTAAATAGGGTGGGTGGGGTTTGGTGAACCAAAAAAACCAGAAGAAGAAGAAGAACATCTGATCCTTAGTGCATCAACCTGATGGGCTCCAATTATTAGAGGCCAACAGCAAAAGCTGCTTCGTCAAATTTAAAGAGCTCCTTATCATCCAGTCCACCTTTTTCAGCCAACTGTTTGTTTTTGTTTGCCTGGTGTTTCAACTTTTCTGCAAAGCTTTGATTAAAGCTGTAAGATCTCATCCTAGATCCACAAAACCTGAGGAAGATGATTCACTGTGAAACTCCTACTGGACTCTGGCCAATCAAAATAGTAGATGTTGATTAATCAATGTCTCAGACGCTAATAGAAAATGGAAAAAAAAACAACCAAAATCAATTTTTATTAAATTACAGATGTTTTAATTTGTATTCATTTCAGTTGTACAATTCTGAATTCCTGCTTTGAATAATGGACAGATGCATGAGCTCTGCTGGTAGTTGCCTGCTGGCATTGTGCAGAAATGCGATATTCTTGCCTGCATGTTACTGTAACGCCTCTATAAATACGTATTGTCGTGTTTTCCGCCCCACGGAATGCCATGGGTCACACTGCATTTATAACCTCACTCAACATATTCTCATTATCAGTTTCTGTAAAATCGTACGAAAAGTTATGCACAATATTTCGTACGTTTTTGACGTTTTTCCTAGAAAAAAACAGATCAGTGCGCATGCGCAGCCAAAAAGCAGATCCACGGACGGACGTAAAACTGGAAAAAACAGTGCAATAATTACTTCTTGATGTCTCTAACTAGGTTGCTTGCTGTTTTGTATCTTAGGGTCAGGGTTAATTGTATGTTAAATTCTATGTTATTGAATGGTGCCTAAGATGCGCATACGCGAGGATATCTTGTCTCGAGAAAAGACGTAAAAATACGACGAAATACGACGAAAAAAACGTCAAAAACTTACGAAATTACTGTGCATAACTTTTCATACGATTTCATACGAACTGATAATGAGAATACACTGCCTCATTTTGGCTCTGAAGTGGAGTTTCCATGTTTTTCCAATTTAGAGAAGATTTTTTTTACTGCACAATTGGGAAAACAGCAGCAGGCAGATATTTTTGAGCTGTTAAATCCATTCTGCAAGATGCCATCAGTTTTTAAGACTTTTGTTTAAATTACTATTCAACCTATAAATGAAGAACTGATAATAACAGTAATAGAGAAGAGATAATGGCTACATCCTGAAATACGTGTTCTAAATATTACACTGATTCTTTACACTGGAAATTATCTAGAAATAAGTAAAAAAATTTAATTAATTGTATTTACCCTTAATTTGAGTAGGTAAATGAGATTTCTCTAATTGAAATCATATTTTCACTCTTAAGATAATTAGATAATATGCACTATAAATAAGACAATGGAATAGTTTTTTTTTATTTTAAATGTAAATTGTCTTGTTCTATTGGCAAAATGTCTCACTTTCCTCCTCAATTCAAGAAAAAATGAACTTATTTTAGATTTTTTTTTACCAGTGTATCTCCTCTGATATTGCGACTGCACTGCAAAAACATCTAGAAAAAAGAAAAAAATGGCTTGAATTTAAAAGTAGTGTAGCTTAATATGGCTAACTGAGCGAGCTAAAAGAGGCTAACCTGTTAGCTACAGCTAGCCACTGCTCCTCCCAACTCTACCCCTTTATATCATGGTCTAACAGTTACTTTGTTAATCAGAAACTGATTTTTTGGGGGGTTTTGTTATCAATCAAATAAAACTTCATCGCTCATTATTGCTTCAGATGCTCCCGACTCGGCACACGAACGCTGCATTGTTATTATCGTTGCCTGGGCAACCACAATGTTTTATGTTACGTGGCAACGTTCAACCAATCATATAGCGTGACGTCACTGGTATGCGCAGGGTTTGAGCAGGCCATGGCCTCCGTGCTAAAGTGTTCATACACTGCAAAAATTATAAATCTAAATAAGTGACCATTTCTTAAAATAAGTGGATTTGCTCTAAAATTAAGGAGGTAAGTGAGATACTTTGCCAATGGAACAAGACAATTTACATTTAAAATAAGAAAAAACAATTGCATTGTCTTCTTACAAGTGCAAATTATCTATTTATCTTATTTTAAGAGTAAAAATTCTTATTCCATCGAATCATCTTATTTACCTACTAAAATTAAGGCTAAATACACCTAATTTAAGACATTTTTACTTATTTCTAGATTTTTTTTGCAGTGAATAGAACACAATTTTTATTTAAATTAAGAAAAACAGCTACATCGTCTTATTTCAAGTGCCTTTTATCTAATTATCTTATTTTAAGAGTAAAAATACTAATTTTACTGGCAAATCGCACTATTTACCTGCTCAATTTAAGGCCAAATAAACTTAATTTAAGACATTTTTACTTATTTCTAGATCATTTTTGCAGAGTAAAATAGTGCACTGCAAAAGTCATTTTTCTTAGAATAAATATATTTTCACTTGATTTAATTAGGTAAATAATATAATTTGCCATTTGAATGAGATGATTTAGCTAAAAATACAAAGGAAAAGTTGTATGTGCATGATATCTAATTATTTTATTTTAAGGGAAAATGGCTAATGTAATTTGGCATATCATCTCATTTACCTGGCTCAATTTATTGGAAAAAAGCATTAAATTTAGCTTATTTTTCAATCAGCTTTTGCAGTGAAACTGCTGTGAGGTTTCTGAGGTTAGAGTTGTTTTAAGGGGCTTCTTGGTCTTGGCCCTTAATTAAAAAAAAAATCTGAATTTCCCTTTAAAAAGTAGCAGAAGTTGGCCCAATGTTTGAGTGGTGACATGTTGGGGCTTCTGTTAATCAGGGCTTGCTGTCAGAAATCCTGCGGAAGGAGGAGGACCCTCGCACGGCGTCGCAGTCCTTGCTGGTCAACCTGAAGGCTATGCAGAACTTCCTGAACCTACCAGAGAGTGAGCGCGATCGCATCTACCAGGAGGAGAGAGAGCGCACCATGAACCCCTCAGTGGGGCTGCCCTCCTCCAACTCCAACAACCCCGGAGCCCAGCGCCTCTCACAGGTTAGAGCTCTTCTCCAACCGCAGTAAAAACACAAAACTGGCAGAAAACCGTAGATTGGTAGCTGAGACTGACGTCTGATGGGGTGTATGTCTGTACGTGTTTCTGCTTAGAAAGTGTGGGAGAGGAGCCTGGACGACCCAATAGCCCCTGATACCTGGGCCTCCATCTGGAAGAACAAGACTAAAATCTCCAACTCTGTGAGTTATTCGCCATCTTAAACCTTAAACCTATGGGGAGAAATCTGTTCTATACTTGGACATTTGGAAAAAATCCAAACCAGAAATAAACAGAAAAAGGTTTTGAGAGTAGCTTTACTTTTTCTCAGATATATTGATTTTATTTCTTACAATATAAATATATATTTAAAATTTTAGTTTTTCAAATTTCTCTTTCTCTATGAGTGATGTTTTACAAAAAATCACTCATATTTCACCAAATAGTGAGTGTTTGCATTGGGCATAAAGTGAAGAGAAAGTGATCTGTAAAAATGCAATTTGAAAAGAATCTGATTTCATAAAACTCAATCTGAAATAGAGAGATTATATTCAGTTTAATTTAGTTTATTTCTATTGCGCCAATTCATTCACATGTCATCCCTGCAATCCCTCACACTAAGCATGCTTGTAGCGACAGTAGAGAGGAAAAACTCCCTTTGAACAGGAAGAAACCTCCAGCAGAACCAGGCTCAGTGTGAGCGGCCATCTGCTGAGGCCCACTGGGGTTCAAGGAGACAGAAGCAGACATAGAAAAAGAAGCATAGATACAAAAGGCAACTGTCAACCAGCTCCACAGGCGGCCCCGTCCAGGAAACACACAGCCAGGCAGACGAGCTCCGAGCCAGCTCCCATGTCAGAGGATGAAGAGAGCACATCCAGCCAGTCACAGTCAGAGAAACAGGACTACACTGGAAAACAGGCCAAGCTCCAACATCTAGAAACAAAGGTGTAAAAAAAAAAAAAAACTATCTTAAAATCTGTTAAAAAATGGAAAGAAAGATACAGTAAAAAAACAAAATCATAATTATGCACATTAACGTTACTTTCCAGACCTATTTTTTATTCATAAGTTCCTTAACGTTTCATTTCAGGATTGCGTTTTTTTTTTTTTTCAAACCTCCATTTTCTAACCGAGTTCTCTGCAACAATAATTGAACAAAATTCCCTCCAAAGACGTCTGCATGTCATGATCTGAGGACTCTGACTGGAAGCAGTCTTAAAAGCCTTCTTATGAGCCGACTGTAAACATCACACACATGAAACCAGCGTGCCGACCCGTCCTCCATGTGCAGCGGCGATAAGGCGGCTCCCTCTGATCTCAGGGCAAATGCCCATTCATGGCTGCGGCTGAATAAGTTGCCCTGTTCTTATTATGGCTATGTAAAATTATCTCAGCATCGTTTATGCTGAGGGAATGTAAGCGAGCCGGTCCGTGCACGTCTCGTGGATGACTTCAAACGCTGTGTACACAAGCGCTCAGAGAGAGCCAGCGCATGGCCGCTCAAACAGAAACAGCCAAAAAGAGACAAAAGAGGGGCTCCTAATGACTTCGATCTGTAAACAACAGTCATGTGGAGACGTGCGCTGCAGATGTGCGGAGAACTCGGCATGTTCAGTGACCGGCTCGACTCCATCATCAGCTGATAGTAGTTTCACCAGCAGATAAAGGACAACTTTTCCTTTGGCTGCATAAAGTCTGCTTTTCTTTTTTTAAATCTCCTGATTCAGTTCAATTCTATTCAGTTTATTTCTATAGCACCAATTCACAACACATTGATTCAAAGTTTTCTATCTAAGGAAAACCAGCTGATTGCATCGACTCATTGACTCTTCAGCAACTCTTTAATTGCACATTTTCAGTTCTATTCAGTTTATTTCTATAGCTCCAATTCACATCATGTCATCTCAGGTCACTTTCCAGTTCACCAGATCATCCAGTCAGATTGATTCAAAGTTTTCTATCTAAGGAAAACCAGCTGATTGCATCGACTCATTGACTCTTCAGCAACTCTTTAATTGCACATTTTCAGTTCTATTCAGTTTATTTCTATAGCTCCAATTCTCATCATGTCGTCTCAGGTCACTTTCCAGTTCACCAGATCATCCAGTCAGATTGATTCAAAGTTTTCTGACTAAGCAAAACCAGCTGATTGCATCGACTCATTGACTCTTCAGCAATCCCTCACACTAAGCATGCTTGTAGCGACAGTGGAGAGGAAAAACTCCCTTTGAACAGGAAGAAACCTCCAGCAGAACCAGGCTCAGTGTGAGCGGCCATCTGCTGAGGCCCACTGGGGTTCAAGGAGACAGAAGCAGACATAGAAAAAGAAGCATAGATACAAAAGGCAACTGTCAACCAGCTCCACAGGCGGCCCCGTCCAGGAAACACACAGCCAGGCAGACGAGCTCCGAGCCAGCTCCCATGTCAGAGGATGAAGAGAGCACATCCAGTTAGTCACAGTCAGAGAAACAGGACTACACCAGTTTATACAGTAATGAGTAACTCTAATTTAATGCTTTTTAATGCACTTTTAATGCTCTTAGAAATATTTTTAATGCCATCAGTGAGTATCCATGACTCTCATACATATATATATATATTTACTGCACAATCCTACGTCATCTTTTACATCATCTTTACCGTTGACAGGCTGCAGCCATGTCCTGAATTCCTCGTTTTCCAGCCACTTTTGTTGAAATTTGCATTTTACTCATTCTCTAGATTTTTCTCCGCCTCGTTTCTATTCCAAATATACGATTTTACAATCAACCAGAAGCAGTTCCGCACAAACACACGGAACCAGTTATATCTGAACTAATATATCTGATGAAATTGTTTTTTATAATTTTTTTTAAATCATTTTAAAAGCCACTATAACCACATTTAACCCTTGAAAGCCCGATCCAAGAATAAAACAAAACAGAAAATTACTTTTTTTTTGGTTTGAATTCCTTATTTGGCCTTTTAACAAAATATGTAAAAAGAAAAAACAGAAATAAAATTTTGATATTAATAATTTATTACTATGCGATAAGTCAATATTATTTTTTGTGTAGTCTTCTACTGGCTGTTATCAGGTATATCTGATTGTGTATGATAGGATTTTGAGCAAAGTTTTTACCATTAAATTATGCAAAAGGTGTCAGACGCAAAACATTTCAGAAACCGTATGTATCAAATATGATACATTTGGCATTACAGGGTTAATGAACTTTAATGCAAATTAAAAAATAATAATTTAATGACTAATGATTTTTAATGACCCGTGGAAACCATGTGCACTGAAAAATAGGCCGATCTCCAACATTTGTAAACAAAGGTGTTGATGGCAGCAGCACAGCTGATATTTCTCTCCAGGATGGAGTCACAGCCAAACAGGAACAGACCAGATGAAGCTACTATGAGAAAAAGCAGAGAGAGCAGAACGTTAGAGATTGAACTAACAGATTCTGCAGAGTGGGAGAATAGAGATAGAATGAAGCAGAATGATGAAAAAGGGGTCCCTATGTCCTCCAGCAGTCTAAGCCTATAGCAGAACTATAGGAGATCGTGATCACTGATGATTGGTTATTCTTCCCTCTCCAGCCGAAGCCATCCGGGCCGGGCCCAGACCTCCCTCTGAAGCTGGAGTCGCTGGTCAACATCACGTCAGGCATCTATGAGGAGATTCAGCAGGAGATGAAGAGAGCCAAGGTGTCACAGGCGTTGTTTGCAAAGGTGGCTGCAAACAAGAGCCAGGTGAGCTGAGAGACGACGCTCCAAATACCTGCTGCTGGGTGTCCTGAGTCCAATAAATAGAAATAATTTTCATCATCTTGTAGCTTTGAAACACTCTTAAAACAACAGGCAGAACAGAGAAGATCCAGAGCAGCGATAAGGTGTATTTCTGTGCTCTGAATGTGGCTGCAGATGTTTTCTCTCTGCCTGAGGAGCCGTTGAGCCCTGCAGACAATAAAGAGATGTCAGCTTTTCATTACAACTGCAAGACATAGTTTGTGTTGCTTAAAGTGGAAAAATGCTTCCATCCTTCAACAGGCAGGTCGATCCGTCTGCGGTCCACATCAAACCAGTTTGGAAGTTATTTTAAAAGCGGCTGTGATGAAAACCTTCCTGCATGGAGAAAATTCAAACCAAACCTTTCTGTGTTTGATTGTATAATCTTAATGATTTTAAAATATATATTATTATATTTATTGCTAAGAATCCTGCTTCATCCATCTTTTTGTAGATTTTATTGGCATCTCATGTGAAAAACAAACTATTATTGTTAAAAGGATCCATGGCCAGTAGAATATGTTGGCCCAATATGTTGTTTATTTCCTATTACTTTAAAAATTGACATTATAAAAACTGTTAAAACTCATAAAAACATCATTATAATTCAGTTTATCTCTATAGCTCCAATTCTCATCATGTCGTCTCAGGTCACTTTCCAGTTCACCAGATCATCCAGTCAGATTGATTCAAAGTTTTCTATCTAAGGAAAACCAGCTGATTGCATCGACTCATTGACTCTTCAGCAATCCCTCACACTAAGCATGCTTGTAGCGACAGTGGAGAGGAAAAACTCCCCTTGAACAGGAAGAAACCTCCAGCAGAACCAGGCTCAGTGTGAGCGGCCATCTGCTGAGGCCCACTGGGGTTCAAGGAGACAGAAGCAGACGTAGAAAAAGAAGCATAGATACAAAAGGCAACTGTCAACCAGCTCCACAGGCGGCCCCGTCCAGGAAACACACAGCCAGGCAGACGAGCTCCGAGCCAGCTCCCATGTCAGAGGATGAAGAGAGCACATCCAGTTAGTCACAGTCAGAGAAACAGGACTACACTGGAAAACAGGCCAAGCTCCAACATCTAGAAACAAAGGTGTTGATGGCAGCAGCACAGCTGATATTTCTCTCCAGGATGGAGTCACAGCCAAACAGGAACAGACCAGATGAAGCTACTATGAGAAAAAGCAGAGAGAGCAGAAGGTTAGAGATTGAACTAACAGATTCTGCAGAGTGGGAGAATAGAGATAGAATGAAGCAGAATGATGAAATGGGGGTCCCTATGTCCTCCAGCAGTCTAAGCCTATAGCAGCCCCATAGTATAACTCAGTAACCATGAATTAGTTCTCAGCATTAAAAAGTTTGGTGAACCCTGTTTTAAATTATATTAGCTCTGCCATTTTTGCACATTAAAGGTCTTCCTCTTTGCAGAAAGTTCAAGAAATTCAAACACTAAATAGCTTTTGATCTGACCCAATATGGACAAATGTTCACAGGGTTCTTGTCCTGCTGGAAGGTGAAGCGGGACGAGAACCGTCTGCAGTTGTTTTAAGCCTTAACTTGGGTTCTGGGCTCTTAATGGCTTCCCTAACTTCTCCTTTAACAAAGTGGAGAGAACTGCTGTCTGCAGATCGCCCTGTTTCAGCCTCCTGCCGTTTAGGTGGACATCCATATCTTGTTTTTTTACGATGCCAGAGTCGCTTCATGTTCAGCTGAGGGATTAAGAGCGCCCTGTGAGATGCTTAAACTCTGGTTTAAACCTCTCCAGAACATTCATCTCCCACGCTGAACGCACCTTTAAGTTTTATTTATCCATAGCAGAGTAAAGGGGGCTGAAAAGATAATGCATGCCACATTTTATTTGTGAGAAATTGTAGAAAATTGTGCATTGTTTTCCTTCCACTTAGCTACTTTGTGTTGGTTTGTGATAAAATGTGGAAAAGTTCGGGGGTTATAGGTCCTTTGCATCTGGCTCAAAGACCGGTCTTTGTATGTATGGGTACCTGCAGCACATGTGTGTTTCTGTGTGGATGCGTATATTAGTGGCGAGCGCCATCCCCCAGGTCGGGGCTGGCGGTCTGCGGGGGCGGCGAAGGGTCACGGCTCGGTGCACCCATCTGCTGCAGCTGGCCACAAGGACGGAGAGCGAGGAGGAGAGAGATGATGGGCCTATTAGGCGGCACATGCTGCCCGAGGAGGCTGGCTGAACACGACAGCTGGTGTCACAAACCCAAGCAGCCTAGCGGGCATAATTCAATCCTCTCCATCTTCCTCATTGAATATCCTGTAGATCCACGACTTTTCCGCTCAATTTGCAGGGGTTAGTTCTGACTCTTTGGGCTGAGGTTGTGTGAGTTTAGCCGTAATAGCTCCCTTACCTGCAGAACGCCGTCAATGGGAGCATGTTGGAAAAATAGAGGAATAAATTGTGGGTGGTGCAGGACTTCTAACACAACTTCCCTGGTTTCCTGTTCTCCGTCGAGAACTTGAACACCGGTTTACATCTGTCATCTTTCACAGCACTACAACCCCTCAGGGCCTTGAGGTCCTATCAGGACCTGCTGAATGTCTCCATCCCAAAATGAGAAACTAAAGGAGACAAAACCTTTTCTTCTGGGGTCTCACTGCTTAAAAAAATTACATTTTTTAAGTTAATTTTGTTTTTAAATTAGTGTAATATTTCATTTGAGCAGGTAAGTAAGATAATTTGTCAACAGAGATCATTTTAATTTAAATTAGAAAAAAAAAACACCATTTCTTATTTCATGAGCATGATGTCGAATTTCATTTTTTAAGGGCTGAAATACGAATTTTCTTTACCTCCTCAAATTTAAGGCAAAAATACTTATTTTAATGCATTTTTGCATATTTTAGATCCTGAACTAAGTGTCATTTAAAGGCTAAACTAAACTAATACAGTGCAAAAACGATCTAAAAATAAGTAAAAATGTCTTAAATTAAGTGTATTCACCCTTAATTTGAGTAGGTAAATTAGCTAGTTTGCCAATGGAATGAGTAATTTTACTCTTAAAATAAGATAATTAGATAATATTCTCTTGAAATAAGACAATGCAATTGTGTTTTCTTATTTTAAATCTAAATTGTCTTGTTCCATTGGCAAAATGTCTCTTTTACCTCCTCAATTCAAGAACAAATGCACTTATTTTAAGAAAAAACTGACTAGTCCAGATTTAGATTTTTTTTCAGTGTATTGCTTGAATTTCTTTTGTTGTAATTACCGGTATTTTACATTTTATACCAGATTTATTTTATAGCAATATTTTATTATCCTCAAAGAAACTTTATAAAACAAGTTTTTCTTTGTCTATTAAAATGCTAAACATCCTATAACAAAAATAAATGTAATAGTAAATTAAAACAAAAAGAAGCATTAGAAGCAAAAAAATGAAAACATTATTAATGGATAATACATCATGTGATCTCAGTAATAGTATATAAATCAAATAAATCTCAGAATGCAGATACATGACGGCCGAAACCCATCCAAGAAAAAATGGTCATGCTGAATGCTGGTGAAGATTCTCACACTAGAAAAACGATCTACAAATAAGTAAAAATGTCTTAAATTAAGCGTATTTACCCTTAATTTAAGTAGGTCAATGAGATAGTTTGCCAATGTAATGAGTATTTTTACTCTAGAATAAGATAATTAGATAAAAGGCCCTTAAAATAAGACAATGCAATTGTGTTTTCTTATTTTAAATGTAAATTCTCTTGTTCCATTGGTAAAATGTGTATTTTACCTCCACAATCCAAGAACAAATACACTTATTTCAAGAAAAAATTTCTTATTTAGACTTCGATTTTTTCCAGTGCACTCATCCAGATCATAGTCATTCCAACAAAGTTCAACCCAGGCATTGCAGGCCAACAAAAAACCCAAACGACTCTCCATTCCTAAGGGGCGGACCCGTTCCTCTAGCCTCGTGAGACCATCCTGATCTCGCGAGCTTTCAAGGTTTCACTAATCTGTTACGTCATATGCTTCGTTGATCTGATTGGTTTATTTGGCCCGTCTATCACCAACATAGGCCAATCAGCTAACCAGTATTTTCGCCCCTTCCCAAAATTACTTCAAAGGAAGGTTTCCAGATGGATATGCGGAGCAAATCCATCTGGCGGAGTCAGGTTACCGTTCCTCTGGTTCAGTTTGAATGTTTTCTAAACCAAAACAAGTTTTTGGCTACACTGGAAAAATCAAAATCCAGATAAGTAATTTTTCGGTAGAATAAGTGTATCTGTTCTTGAATTGAGGAGTTAAGTGAGACAATTTGCCAATGGAACAAGAAAAAGTACATTTAAAATAAGTGAAAAAACGTCTTAATTCATATGTATGTTTTCTAATTATCTTATTTTCAGAGGAAAAATCCTCATTCCATTGGCAAATCATCTTATTTACCTCTTCAAATTAAGAGTAAATACACTTATTTTAAGACGTTTTGACTTATTTCTAGATCGTTTCTGCAGTGTACTATATAAAGACTTGAACTCAAAGCTATTTATGATACTTTGAATTGAAAAAGCTTCCTGGATGGGAAGCGAAACATCTTCAAACTTGGAAACAAAATCCAGTGGATGGTTTTTGAACTTTTTTGGAATACTCATGTTGAAGTATCAGTTCATGTCTTATTTCTTTAGCAGGGGTGGATTTAGGAAATTTGGGGCGCTACGCAAAGACAGGCAGGGGGCCCCTCTGAATAGAGAAGGCAACACATAAAACAGCCCCATTCTACAGATAGAGAAATGTTAATAGAATAGACATCCATTATCTGTTCTAGGTTGTGTCCCTCTCTTCTTGTCCCTTTTCTTCTTGTTTTCCTCTCTATGTTTTGTACTCAGCTGACTTTTCATGCTGTCTCTAAAGGAATGAAAGATTTTTTCCAAGCACTGAGCTCACTTAGCTGATTGCTCCTTCCTGTGTTTCCAAAAAGGCCAAAGTAAATAACCCAGTCCTTCTTTTCACTGTAGACAAGCCATGATCTGCTTCTCTGTTCTCCATTTTTCATTTGGATGAAATAATAGCTGCATGAATCATGACAGCAGACAAGATAGAGGAGAGCAGGAGGCGGGGTTACCAATCTACTCGCTCTGGAGAGCAGAGTTCGCTGCATTTAGATGTTGTCTCCAAAGTCTCCAGTAGCAGAAAAAAGTCTCTAGATTTGGCGCTAGGAGCTTTTTAGAAATCAAAGTGCTAGAGGGGTCTGAAAAGTGGCTAAATATAGCGACTAAAGCGCTAAGTTGGCAACACTGCTCTTTGCATGGTTTGTTTTCAAATGGTTTGCTGCTGTCTGTTTGGACCTTTCTGAACATGTGCAGCAAATGGACTGATCCAATATGGTGGACACTGAAGGGGGGGTCTGAGACACACTGAATATTATCAGCGTTCTGACGGCATTTTAGCGAAAGGATTTAAATCAAAAAGATAATTAATGTGCATGAATAAGTGTAACTATACATGTAAAGAGAGTTTTATGGGGCCCCCAGGAACTTGGGGCCCCTGCTTCTTACTTCCACTGATATTTGAGGCCAGATTGATAGCAGAAAGCTTTAATAAAGCGGTCTGATCTCTGCAGGGCTGGCTGTGTGAGCTGCTTCGATGGAAGGAGAACCCCAGCCCGGAGAACAGAACCCTGTGGGACAACCTGTGCACCATCCGGAGGTTCCTGGCGCTGCCGCAGGCCGACAGGGACCTGGCCTATGAAGAGGAGTCGCGCCACCATCACAGCGAGCGGCTGCACACCGTCCTCCACCTGCCGCAGGATGCCCACGTAAGCTCTCCTTATCTGTCGGCTTTTACCCACGTCAGAGCGGCGTCTCAGAAAACGGGCGCCAGATGCTTCAACATCTATTCCTGACTGATTGAGGAAAACAGGGAACGTTGCTGCCACCTCGCTCCACTTCCACGTCTCTCCTCAGAAACTCCATCTCATTTTGTCTAAAGCATGAAGCCTTTTTCTCCGGATGTATCGTCCGGATATGTCCACCGTCACTCAGCTCGTTTGTCATTATTGCGTTCTCGTATTTATTCGCTTAGAAGTAAGCATCAGGCCGTTTGATCTTGTGGCGTGTTGTTGGCGTGTCTTTGTGTGTCCATGTTTGCCCCTCCGGAGCGAAGGGTAAACAGTGTTGCTGGGTGGTGTGGCATCAGAGGAAATGCCCCATTAGTTTATGAGGAGGGCGGGTAGGGAGATCGATGCAGGAAACATGGTGACGTGTCAGCGGCCCTCCCACGCAGACAACATCCAGATTACTCGCTTTTCTCCTGCTGAAGATCCTCTTCACATCCAACTTCAACAGAAACTGTAAAGAAGGAGCTGCTGCTGCATGTGGATCTGGGAACGTGAATGAAGCAACTTCCACACAGTTTAACCCTTTATAGGGCCCTCAGTGAAATACTTTGAAATTCAAAATTTCAAGCCAATAGTGTTATTGGAACCCAGGTTAAAAAATTAAGAAAATAATGTCAATGTAATGACAAACGCCAACTTGTTCGACTATATTAAGAAAAATAACAAAATTGCTTCTATCAGAAATATAATATCTGGTATTAAAGACAAAGAGCGGGTCTTTGCGTGTCGTTTGATTCTGAATAATAAAAGTTGAGACTTAATAGGAATCTTCCCTTCCTGTGTGGTCTCAGTGGGTATTAAAGACTGCACTGCAAAACATTTAAATCTTAATAAGTCAATTTTTCTTAAAATAAGTGTATTTTTTCTTGAACTGAGGAGGTAAGTGAGACACTTTGCCAATGGAATGAGACAATTTACATTTAAAATAAGAAAAAACAATTGCATTGTCTTATTTCCAGTGAGTTTTATCTAATTATCTTATTTTAAGAATAAAAATACTCCTTCCATTGGCAAATCCTCTTACTTACCTACTCAAATTAAGAGTAAAAACACTTAAATTATGAAATCTTTACCTATTTCTAGATTGTTTTTGCAGTGTGGTCTGAACCCAGTTTATGGTGGTTGGTGCACTGGAAAAAAAATCTGGAAATAAGTAAACAATTTTTAAATTAAGTGTATTTACCCTTAATTCAAGCAGGTAAATGAGATAGTTTGCCAATGGAATGAGTATTTTTACCATAAAATAAGATAATCAGACGTTATGCACTTGAAATAAGACAATGCAATTGATTTTTTCTTATTTTAAATGTAAATTGTCTTGTTCCATTGGCAAAGTGTCTCAATTTCCTCTTCAATTCAATAAAAAAATGCACCAATTTTAAGAAGAAATTAGATATTTGGGTTTTTTAGTTTTTGAAGGGTGACAACTTTGCACTCAAAGAAATAAAAATCTAAATGAGTCGTTTTTTCTTAAAATGAGGGCATTGTTTCTTAATTTATGGAGGTAAGGGAGACAGATGATATGCACTTATAATAAGACAATGCAATTGTGTTTTCTTATTTTAAGTGTAAATTGTCTTGTTCCATTGGCAAAATGTCTCTTTTACCTCCTCAATCAAAGACAAAATGCATTTATTTTAAGAAAAAATGACTTATCTAGTTTTCCATTTTTTCCAGTGTGGTTCTGTCTGGACAGAACGGAGGGTCAGATGGTTCTGAGAGTTGGGGGGTAACTTCTGTTACATCTGCATGTCCCCAGAACTGCTCGGCCTCCCGGCAGTGATGTGTGTCCCACAGCTAACTTGGTCGAGTCTGCCCCCATAAATAATTTCTCCTTTTCTTTTTCGCTTCATTGAATTTTCTTCCTGGCCTCCATTCTGTGGCTCTTTATGCGCGTTTGGCCGCCTGCTGTGAACGGGAACTCAAAACGTCTCCTTTGTTTATGACTCCAGTGAAGGTTTGCTCCGATGGGTCACAATAAATTAATCTTACCAGAAATCAAATCCGGCCCCTTCGAACAAACTGAAAAAAAAAGATCAGGCATAAATCCATCATGTATATCAGAGTAATATCTGTGAAAATACAGATATTTCTAGTAGGAAAAGAGCAAATGGAGTTTCTAGAAGTCAAACCAAGCATCTTGATTGTTTTAGTGTTACTGTTCAGCTGAGCGGAACTATGACCTCAATGCACACTCGTTCTCCCTGTAAATGTCCGATGCTTTTACCTGACAGATGATTAACAAAGCTATTAAAATGCCTGCTTTACAAGTCGGCTCATTATTGTTTATTGTGGCAGCAGTGGTTTGGGCTGGACTTTAGCCGGGTGGAGGCTGTGAATTAAACCTATATGTAGATAAGATCCGGTCGGTTCCTAGAGTTCGGTTCTGTGATGTCGGCACACTTCTTCTGTTCAGAAAACAGTTTTCACACCGAGTTCCATGGATCATTCAGAAACGACAGCTTACGGTTTGAATTTGTTAAAAATCGCTCATCGGTGGAGTCCAGTGTATTAACGCCGGCGCAATTCATGAGCGAAACTTCACGCAATAAGTCTTTCTCAGTGCTAAAATACATAACCAGTTCAAAACGTCACCTGTGGACTGCAGCGTTTGATCAGCTCTAATCACAGTGCCTTTCCCGTTTTCTCTTTTTAGCCTCAGAAGGTTTAAACTTTTTCCTTTTCATGACCAGCGGTCGAGCAGGTGGAAAAATAGCAGAGCTAAAGCCTTAGCTCCATGACGATATGACAGCCTGTGGCCGTAAAGCCATACGTTCTTCCAGGTCACATGACCTGACCAATCGCGGTCTGTCATCTCCCAACTTACATAGTTGGTATTACAAGAGGGAAGCCCCAAATGCTTACTTTGTTAGTCTTAAGCCACATTTACACTAGCCTGGGTGCCATTCCGAACTTAGTCCCGCCCACAACGTTTGAGGTCGTGAAGTTCGGTCTGGCATTGCTCAATAGTAGCGCGAGTATGCTCGCACAATATCTGGCGGGCCAATCAAATTGTCAGGGCGGGCTTTATACGATGATGGACAGATGATCAACAGTAACGTAATCAACCACGTCACCAAAGCGCGCTTGGGTGACAACAACAATGGCTGCCGCTGGAGAGTTGAGGTGTGTAGATTCTGCTATTAGGTCTGTTCTAGAAGATATCGACAGCAAATTCATCTTAAAAGAGGAACAGAGAAACGCGATCAAGGCTCATCTTCTTATTCTAGGCGTGCAACTGCACGCTTTGATTTTTGTTGACAACAACTATGCGTCGCTTAACATACGTCACGCACTCCGTTGCTCTTATTGGTTGTAGGTCTATCCAATTGAGTGCAGAGGCATTTTTTTTCCTGGTTCGTTCAAAACACGCCCCATAATCACAGCTCTATGGAGCAGCATCAGACTCATTCTGACTAGAATTGAGTAGGACTACGTCAGGCTACATTTACACTACCTTCTGGAACCGTGCCGAGATCGGTCCGAGCAGTGTGGAACGCACAACTGAACCAAACTGCTCCAAACACAACGCGCTAAACTGGTAGCCTCGTGAGACCATCCTGATCTCGCGAGCTTTCAAGGTTTCACTCGCAGATCAGTCTGGAGACTCTCCGTTGAAGAAAATTTGGAGCCGTTCACCAAACGAACGTCCAATCAGCGTTGGCTTTGAGGCGGGTTGAGGTGTGACGCAACGAGAAGCGCGACAGTTCAGTCTAAAGAACATGGCGGCTTCAGCCGATGAAACTAGCGTTAGCGTGGCTATCGAGCAAGTTTTATCGGAATTACAGAGTATTTCTTCACTGAAAGAAGAGCAAAACACTGCTCTGGAGGCTTTTCTCAGAGGAAAAGATGTTTTTGCTCTTCTCCCGACTGGTTTGGCAAGAGTTTGATCTATCAATTGGCTCCTCTTCGTCGTCGCTCTGTTAGTACGTCATATGCTTCGTTGATCTGATTGGTTTATTTGGCCCGACTATCACCAACATAGGCCAATCAGCTAACCAGTATTTTCGCCCCTTCCCAAAATTACTTCAACGGAAGGTTTCCAGATGGATATGCGGAGCAAATCCATCTGGAGGAGTCAGGTTACTAAACTGGTACTAGTTCATCAGTAGGGCTCGGCGCGGTTCAGTTCTGGCTCGGTTCTCAGATAACAAAGAGCGCATGAGCAGATCGTGTCATCTCCTCACAGTCAGCCTTCGTAATCATGCAATTTCAGACATTCCTAAAAATCCTAGCTTCCCTACCGTGCCACATGATTTCCAGCATCTGTAAGCCCTAATTAGACTATCACTTGTTGTATCCACTTCCCAAAAGCTGACTCTGTCGATTAAATTCATCAAAGGCTGCCCTCTTCGCCTGACTCTCGGCAAACAACGAAATATCTCAATGATAACAAAACATAACTTCCTGAATGTTACGGGCACCGCTATGTCGGTTTGGTTGTTTCCCTCTAGAGAGCAGTACCGTAGATGGCCACTAGGAGGCAAGGCACCGTGCTAGCGTGATGTGTAAACGGTCGTAAGGAACTGATCTCAGCACGGTTTGGTTTTCAGAGGGTCGTGTAAATGGTGCTATAGTGCCAAACCCTCGATATTGGCCTGAGGAATCATTTAAAATAACTCTCCTTAGGTCACAAAGTCCACGCTGCGTCTCTGAGGAATCTTTGGATATCCGATTTTTAATTGATTAATTGCAAAACTAATCAACAGATGAATTTGCAAAATAATCGTTATTAGCAGATCTAATTATGACCCTTTTTGCTTTCTGTATCTCACTCTCTCGTTCCCCACCACGGCTGTAGATCCTTAAAAAACATTAAACAGTCTCTTAAGTTCAGCTCCAGTCCTGCATTGTTTTGGTGCTGATTGCTCTGGGTTTCATTTATATGGCCTCATATTCTGCTGTGCTCTGACGCTCTG